TACTAACAATTTGGCTGTAGTACATGAAATGTGTCTTTAAGATGTATGATATGATGTTTAAATTTTAGTTACCTAAACCCTATTTTTATTATTCATTTTTAAATTGGAATATACAATGCAGTTTCAGCATCCAGGTGTGTATAAAATACTAACACCTGAGTTAGGCCTTAATAAAATACCTAAATTAGGCATCAATAGTTGAAAACAAAAGCTATTCCTGGATTCTGCAGTCAAGCTTTTGACAGTCAAGCGGCGGAGAGCGCTTGTATCGACTGATTGACCGTATCGTCTGAGAATATTGAAGCGAGACCCTCCGTGTCGGAGGTCGTGTCAATACTCTACACACCGCAAGAGAAAGAGGCAAAGGACGACAAACAGGAGAAGCATGCTTTCTCTGGTCTTTAAAAACAACGACAGGTCGATTTCATCTGTCAGTCAAAATCATAAATGCAATCAGCTGTAAACCATTTTAGAGTTGAAAACATTTTCAACAAAAACCTCATGTTTATTTATTAGGAATGAATTAGGCAGGATATGAGTACTGTGTGTCTAATTCAAACTTAATAAATAAACATAAAAAATGTTAAATAATAAAGAAATGCTACATCTTTTTTCAGTACTGTTATAATGTCAGTCTTGATGACACTGTTTGCTCGTCAGTGCGGTGATCTTTACGAAGTGAGAGTTTGACTAGGACTTTCTGTATTTAAGCCCCTCGGGGGGCACGTCCTCATTAGTGCCACTAAACTTTATCACACTTCATGCTTTAATTACGTTCCTCATGAATTATTCCTCTGTGTTTCAGCACCATGATCTAAATACGAATGCGGGTCGAGTCCGGAAGAGGAGCAGGGATAAACATGAATTTAAATCATAAGAGGACAGGGAGTGTCGGTGGGCTTGTTTGTGGATGTGGGCAGAGGGTTTCTAATGGGAATGTGCTGTTTGGTGGGGAACGGCCGTGTAAATGTTTAATGAGGATTCTGGTTCTGGAGCATTTCCTGTACTCTAGCTACCGTGATGTTTCGGCTCTGACTTTTTCAGGTGGCACACGGATCTACGGCATAGGGAGGAAAAACTCATGTTTAGTCCTTGAATATAACATGGAAGATGCATAGAGCATATCATATAGTACATATGAACAAACAAAAAAAAGAAACAAACAGACAAAAAAAATATATGTAATATCTATATATCTGTGCCAACATACTGTACTTTACACATTTTACACATTTTTTGTTAATATAATCTGACTACTTTTTGTGCAGTAAATATATTACTTAAAGTAAATATATTAGGTGAAAGAGGTTCGGCTTACAAAAAAGTTCCCTGGGAATCCCTGTATTACACGTTGTAAGGATTCTGGTGTCACGTTGCACACACACGAGGGACGAGGAGACGCTGGAGAATATGTTGACAGGACTTTATTTACAGGAAGTGCCTCATGTTTCTTTGTCGGGTCTACTATGTTGTGTTTGTGTGTCTTCTCCAGTTCCCTGTGTGGATATACCCTGTGTTTTTGGATTTATTAAAGACTATTTCGATTATCCACGGCTCCGTGTTCCTTCCGGCAGCGATCGTGACACGTACATAAAGAATGTGATTTTTTTTTTTCATTTCATTTTTCATAGACAGAGTAAAACATGATTAAATAACCCACTGAGTGATAATTCACATAAAAATGTATGTTCATCAGTAGTTGGTGCAATATTACTGTAAAATGTTAAGAAAATGCTTCTTAAAACTGAAATGATTTTTTGTAAAATGCTGTGTGTCCTCTCAGTTGTCCGTGTAATTATATACACTTAGTCTTTGTGTGAATATCTACAAAACTGGAAGACTTTCTGACTGTATGTATTTTAGAAAGGAAAAAGATGGAAAAGAAGAATTAGGGAGAACCAGTAAATTCTGAATAATTTATTGATATCAAAAGACAGCAAGTGGAATGATAATTAAAGCATAGGCCAATGTTTTCATGAGATTTGCAATATTGAGAAGCTTAGAGTGTGTCATATGTTTTTGTCATGGCAGTCTTAGACTGCTTTTTTTTTGTTTTTTTTACTTATTGAGGTTTTACTGTTATTGATGTAATGATCCACTTCCCTTTGCACAATAAGAAGAGCTCAGTGAGATTTCCTTCAGTGATTCACCACCTTGATACTGGCCTGACAGAGCAATATTACATATCTTTTTCTCACAATGTTACATTGATTCTTCAGGCACTCTGTTGCTATTTGTATTTATTTATTGCATTCATTCATTTATTGTATTCATTTTTGTTCATTCATTTCATATTTCCTGCAGTTCCATTAATAAAGAACTCATCTAAATAAGACTAATCTCTGAAAATGAAATCTCCCAGTCAGTGCTTCTGTGAGACAAGGTACAAAGTGATCCCTGCAAGAGAGATTGAAAGTGATATCACAGATTCACTCTCTCTCCTGAGACGCTTAGTCTCTCTCGTGCGCTTGGTGCAGTTTCAATCACGAATCAATTATGACACTGTGATGCATTGCGATGCATTGAATCACAATGATGTATATTGCATCTTGGGGTAGTTGGCAATACCCTGCCTTACCTAAATGTTCATAATGGCTGAACACACCATTTAACAGATGTGGAATTAAAACCACTGAGATATTCCCACCAAAAGCTGTGTGTTTGTTCAAATACACATCCAGCATTATGACGTTAAAACCATAAACTCTATAAACTGTTGAAAAAGTACATCCCCAGTTATCCCATCACATCAAAATCCACCCACATACAGTGGGTACGGAAAGTATTCAGACCCCCTTAAATTTTTCACTCTTTGTTATATTGCAGCCATTTGCTAAAATCATTTAACTTAATTTTTTTTCCTCATTAATGTACACACAGCACCCCATATTGACAGAAAAACACAGAATCGTTGACATTTTTGCAGATTTATTAAAAAAGAAAAACTGAAAATTTCTCTCCTGATTCAGACAGCTTTTTAAAGGGGTCTTTAACTTCTATTTCTTCATTTCTTTCTTTATCTACAGAAACCTCTTGGACAGAGACACCTTCTCAAAATCTGATCCAAGTAAGCTTTTTGGTATTATACCATATCAAATATAAAAGCTTATTCATTTAGTCTGTCACGCATTGAGACGTAGGTACAAAGATCGGTTTATCTGACAATACTAGCACATCTGAAATCACATTGCTTAAAGCAGTCTGGGCTGAAATCATGATGCAGTTACTGCTCATCAGCACCGTAGGGAGCATCATTAGTGTGCAATACCTTACCTGCCTGCCTTAATTATTATGTTGTTTTATTAGAAAGCTTGATTGTGCATGAAACCCTGCTGTATGCATATATTCTTTCATATGCAGGAGAGTATAATATTTGCATTTGCATTTCTTGTTTGCATCTTCACGTGTTGTGTGTTCACGTGGGTTGTGATTGCATTGTGTAATCCAGATGTTGTGTTCGGCTAACATTCACAGCTTTAATGATACAGATGCGTTTGACTGCAGGCCCTGCATTGTTCATTCTGCTGTATGGCTGATTACACTGACTGTTTCTGACACACACACACACACACACACACACACAGACACATTATATCTTCTAAAAGATTTTGTTTTGATTATTTCTCTGCTAAGAAAACTATATTTTCCTCTTAAAATTGGGCCAGTTATATTGTTTGGAAAGTACATACTTTTCTGCCTTCGTTTAAAGGGATCATATTCTACACCTTTGTAATATTACATTTCCCCTCCTGAAGTCAACTTATAATGTACGTTTTTTTTAATGCTACTATCAGATTTAAAGGGATAGTTTACCCAAAAATTAAAATTCTGTCATTAATTACTCATCCTCATGTTGTTCCAAACCTGTTAACACTTCGGGCCCTATCACACACCCGGCGCAATGCGGCGCCAGGCGCGACGCAAGTGTTTTTTGCTAGTTTCAGCCCGACGCAGTTGTCATTTTCACGTCTTGTGCCACGTTGTTTAAATAGCAAATGCATTTGCGCCCATTTGTGCGCCCATGGGCGTGCTGGTATGAAAACGAGGTGTGTTCAGGTGCATTGCTGGCGCGTTGCTATTTTGAGGCAACTGAAAATAGACTGTGCCATAGACCAACTCAAACCTGGTCTAAAGTCAATGGCGCAGTAGTTGTTTTGTTATTTAAAAAGCGCGTTAGTATAGGCGGGTCCACAGCGCGCGTACACTTCGCTTATTACACACACAGGGACGCACAGCAGCACACAAACATGCCAAATATTAAAAATGAAAGGATTGCAATGTAAAAAATGATTATTGTGTACACTGTAAAAAAATCCAACTTACATTTTGTATTACAAACTCCGTTTTTAAAGTTTATTCAACTATTTAACATTAAAAAAGTTGAGATAACACATAAAAGTAAGTAAAATAGAAATTTAGACCAATTTGTTTGACCAAATTAATATTTAAAGTTGGAACAACTAACAACGTTAAGTTTGTTATAAGTATTGCCCACAAAGGCTGATGAGCATGCGCAGTTCGATCACTTTTTTATATACAACGCCATTTTAATTTCTCCCACTTCATTTACGAGTTGCCTCAAGCGGCGCCCATTTATTCTGTTACTGTGATCGCTCCGTAAGTGTCGTTCTGTGTATCAATTCACGATATGATTTAAATGAAAATTGTTCACAATATGCGCTTCTGTACAACATAGGTGGCGGCAAGTTAGTCAATTTTCCCGCCTGGTCTTATGAGTTACCTCAGGTCAGACGGCGGCAATTTTTTTTCTGACCGACAGTGTAATCGCTCCGGTAGGTGCTGTTCTATATACAATATTTACCATAAGACTTGAATTATGTTTGTTCAAAACATGTGCTTTTGTACACCGTATTTCCTTTCGTTTTAGAGTTGCCTCAGGCGGTGCCCGTTCAACGTTATTTATCACTCCGGTAAGTGGTGGTTCTTTGTGTATAAATTTAAGATATGATTTGAATTAAATTTGTTCACAATATGCACTTCTTTACAACGTATCGTTAGGTGGCTTCAAGTGAGTTCAATTTTCCCCGAGTTGCCTCAGGTCAGACGGCGCCTGTTTTTTTCCGACAGTGTATCTTAACGTTAACATAATCGCTCCGGTAGGTGCTATTCTTTGTACGATAAATTACGATAATTGTTTTGTTTTGTTTTTTTCAAAATATGTGGTTTTGTATACAGACGTGGACTTCGAGTTGGCTCAGGCGGTGCCCGTTTAGTCCGTCCGTGATCACAGGGTAAGTTTTTTTGTTTTTTATGTGTAACGATATCAGGTTACGATATGATTTAAACGAAATTTGTTCACAATATGCGCTTCTGTACAACGGTGTAGGTGGCGGCAAGTTAGTTCAATTTTCCTGCTTCGTCTTCGAGTTGCATCGGGTCAGACGGCGCCAGTTTTTTTCCGACAGTGCAATCGCTCTGGCAGGTACTGTTCTATGCAGGCTGTGATAATAATTTACAATAAGATTTGAATGGTATTTGTTCACAATATGTGCTTCTGTACAACTGCTTAACGTTAGGTGGCTCCAAGTTGGTCCGTTCAACTTCTGCTTCGTATTCAAGCTGCCTTAAGTCATACGATGCCAGTTTTTTACCGACAGTGTCATGACTTAGGTAAGTAACGTTACTGTTTTATGCATATTAAGTAAAAGGATTTAGATTAGGATTAAGGATATATAATTTACTTTATTTGCTTATAATATGTTCATTTTGTACAATTGTGTGGGTGCCTTTTAGTTTTGGATAAGGTCATGAAGTTCTAAATGTATTAAAAAAAAAAAAGATGCATTTTCTTCATTTAACTTTATTTACATTTATTTGCTTGTTAAATGCAAAGTATTTGTGTAGCTTATGTTTGCTAAGTGTACTATAAATCTGCATCTGTATGTTTTAAAAATGCAAGTAATTTAAGAGCTATTTTAAAGCTTAAAATCATAATTGGTTTTAAAAATTTGATATTTGTTCAACCAACTAATATTTAATATTTGTTTTCTTGCTTTATGATTATTTTTTTATTTAGGGTATTTTAAGTAGTTGTTCTTTAATAATGTTCTCTAGCAATGAATTCATGTATCCCTTGTGGTAAACAAATAAATAAAATCTTATGTTGTTGCCCAAAGAATTAATTCTACCATTGTATTGTTTATTTTTTCTCATTAGGGTGATGCAGTGCAAGATATGCAAATTTGAACACCCTGCTCAGGAGGTCCTTTTGAAACATTACCGATTGCGCCACTACCAGGGAAGACACCGCCAACTACCCTGCCTCTACACCGAAAACCACTGGAGCGTTGAAGTCTCACCTTTCAATTTCACACAAGCGCTTATCTTCACGTGAGAGTCACTTAACATTTAATTGTGAATTGTGTGACTTTAAGGAAATTTGTAAAACACCTGATTACTTCAAACATATTAGGAGCCATTTAAAAAATCATTAAACTGTAAGGTGCCCTTTTAGCCAGTGGGATTTTAAAACAAATCTGATTTCATCATTCAGTGGTCACAGAAGTCGGAAACATTGCAGCTTTTCAAATTTTAAGTTTGCTCAACTTCTGATTTTTTACAGTGTAGTAGGGCTGTCAAAAAAAATCGAATTTAGAATATTCGTCGAATAAAAAAAAAAATCCACATTCGAATGCAAAAACGTTGCATTCGAATTTTAGGTCTGCGTCAGCCGTCAGGCAGCCTTATCAGTGGCACGCGAAATGTGACGACAATGTAAGTGTCATTGCATTTTAATGCTTTTGTTAGCTTATCCAGTTGAACCCACTAGATGCGGCGCTGCTACGTTGTTCGTTTAATATATTGCGGAAAACGAGAGCATCAGTGTGGCGAAGACGTTGTTTACGGCGAAACTGAAACCAAGCCGTTCACACAGAACGCATATATACATCACATTTTCTAGCGGGGCATCTATCAGCATTGCACTCGCGTCTCGCACAAGAGAGCAGCATGTTTATAAAGCCATGTAAAATTAATGTAAGTTCAGCTTTTAAAAAACATGTCTCAAGACTTTATGGCAGATTTCCCCCATCCCACTGTATCTCATGTTTTTAAATGAAGAAAGTAGCCTACTCTTTGTGATTGGTTTTCAGTCCTTTGTATTAAACTATACATACATGCATGGTGCTGTTTTTGTTTCTAATTGTTTAAGCAACTTTATTAATTATATATGGTTTCTAAACATTATTTTAAACATTATGCACTTTTTTTCAAAGTTAGTCGTGTTATTTTATTACGCTTTGAAGAAATATGCATAATATTTTGCTCGATGCGCCCTCTTGTGGCCTCAAGAGAAGCTAAAAGCTTTTTTCCCCCTAACTGAAATTATGCCTTTTAAATTCGAATATAATTCGAATTTTGATCATATTTAAGTGTAAAATTCGAATTTAGTTTTTCAGTCATTTTGACAGCCCTATTGTGTAGGCTACATAAATATAAAAATTCCTACATGTCATAATGGATAGTCATTGCATGTATCAGAATTAGGTTACCTATTTGCTTGCACACGAACAGCTCCGAGATGCGTTCTATCTTTGCACTTGCAAATTCTGCTGTGTAAATAGCAAATCCGCCATGGCACGAGCACAACTGGCTCTTAAAGGGAATGAGAGATGAGACTCTGATTGGTTTATTGCACGTTATGCCCAAAACAAACCCATTACTCATTAAGAGAATAGGGACAACCCTTTTAGACCATGCGCCAGGCACGCCGACCATTTTTCCCGTCTTTAAACTAGCAAAAGTGGATTTGGACACGCCCTAAGAGCACCTGTACCGTGCGCTTTAGACCATGTGCTTAGATCGTTAAAATAGGGGCCTTCATCTTGTGTTTCCTTTTGCGCACAAAAAGTATCCTCGTAGCTTCATAAAATAAGGTTGAACCACTGATATCACATGGATTATTTTAACGATGTCCTTACTATGTTTCTGTGCCTTGACCGTGGTAATTCCCTTGCTGTCTATGGAGGGCCAGAAAGCTCTCTGATTTCATCAAAAATATCTTAATTTGTCTTCTGAAGTTGAACGAAGGTCTTATTGGGTTTGGAATGACATGAGGGAGAGTAACTAATGACAGAATTGTCTTTTTTGGGTGAACTATCCCTTTAATTTAGTAATTTTGTTTTTTCTTCGCAATGACCATTTTCTATCCTCGCTTCTCACCCTTTGAATTAAACAAACATTTTGTTTCTGTGCCTTTAAGAATTCTAATGCAAATGAGCTCTGCGCTGATTGGCTAAACTCTGTGTACTGGTGTAGTTCACGATCATCAACACAAGTCAGGTTTCTAAATACTGAGTAAGTGTTGGTATGTAAAAGTGGGTGCTTTTATGCTAATTTGCTAATGGTTGTGATGTCATAATCATGCTGACTTCTGAAAGTCCATTCCTGAAGTAATTCAAAGTTATTTTTATAGATTGTAGGTGGACTGAGGTGTCTGAATTTGTACTCGTTCTACTCAGAGCTGAATTGTGCATTTCTATAGCAACACTATCAATGCCAAAGCATTCACGTGCTTGCATTTCAACGAAACAATAATTACAACTTGTAAGCTCAGAATGTTCTGAGAGCTACGACTTGGACCATGTGACCACTGTCCCACCTGACTGCCGCCAGGGGTTCTTATCTCTGGCCCTCGAGGTCCACTTTCCTGCAGAGTTTAGCCAATTGATTAGCTTGTTCAGGTGTGTTTGATTAGGGTTGGAGCTAAACGCTGCAGGAAAGTTGACCTCGAGGGCCAGAGTTCAGAACCCCAGATTTAGGTGCTACTTAGGCTCTACCTCCGAGTATAAAAGGCTTGGACAGCTCCGAGTAGAACATCACGTTTTGTCATCTTGGTGATTGACATGTTGTGAATGCAGCTCAAGTGACCTAATCCCATGTGGCACTGATCTTAAATGACCCACGAAAGTGTAAGCAAGAAAAAAGCACATATTCCCCTATCGTTGCAAGTCGTATCGTCATTAAAAAAACAAAAGTGGGGAATGATGTCAACTCAGGTGAATGCTTTTCTGGGGAGTGTTGCCAATTCTGTGCTTTTTACACTATTGCCGCGGGTTAAAGTGATCTCCCCACCTCCCCTGGAATGTGATTTGGATGCAGTGGACCCCTGACGGAGGGGAAAACTACAGAAAAAATGTGATTGGGTTATTTTTGATTAGCAATTGGGCTGGTTTTGTTTGCAGACCAGGCAACCCTGCTTCTTCAACCTTGGGTAGTTTTGCCAAGTGTGTAGCCTAAATGCAAATATTGGATATGGGCCACTTTTAACAAAAGATTGAAGTCTGATTTTTTTATAGCTGAAATTAACAATAGAGCAGAAAACTTGTATTCCTTTTCACACAAATTGCGATTACTGGGTAATATTTGTCACAGTTCGAAAGAGGCGAAGACTCAAGTGCAGGCAGATGGGGTGTCTTTATTTATAACTCCCAAAAATAAACAAAAAAACACAACTGAAACCACCCCGAAGGGGAAAAAGCCAGAGTAACATAAATGCTCACCACGAGACAAACTGAGCACAGGGCAGCCACAAATCAAAGGCATGAACCAATACGATGGGGTGTCTTTATTTACGATTCACAAAAAATAAACACAACTGAAACCACCCCGAAGGGGAAAAAGCCAGAGAAACATAAAAAGCTCACCACGAGACATAAACTGAGAACAGGGCAGCCACAAATCAAAGGCATGATCCGACACCTAAGTGAGACAAACAAGCCCAGAACAGAAAACACAGGGAGCTTATAAGGGAGAGGCAATCAGGTAAACAGCTGGGACTCCCTCCTCTAAGGAACGGCTTCCAGACGTTCCAGAGCGCCCAACCGGGGGGCGGCAGAGTAGGGGGAGGGATGGGGGGCCCAGGTCCGTGTGATAGAGGGGGACCTGGGGACTGGGGCAGAGCCGGCGGGATGGGGACCCAGGGCAGAACCAGCGGCCACCACAGCGGTGTGCCTCCCTTAAATAGATGATGTGGTCGACCATCTCCCAATAGGACCACATATCTAGCTCCCCCAGCTACTCCCAGTTGACGGGCTCGTCCAGGCCCGCTAGAAACAGGTGGATTCTCCTCAAGCCCTAGCCCCTGGCCTGCATCGAAGAGGTCCTCGGCGTACAGCCCAAAGGGGCGATTGTCTTGTGGGCAGGGATGTAGCCCATTGGCAAAGGTATGGATCCTCGGTCGTCCGGGAGCTGGGTATAAACGGCTTGTTTGTACTGTCACGGTTCGAAAGAGGCGAAGACTCAAGTGCAGGCAGATGGGGTGTCTTTATTTACAACTCACAAAAAATAAACACAACTGAAACCACCCCGAAGGGTTCTTTATTTACGATTCACAAAAAATAAACAATAAACACAACTAAAACCACCCCGAAGGGGAAAAAGCCAGAGTAACATAAAAAGCTCACCACGAGACATAAACTGAGCACAGGGCAGCCACAACTCAAAGGCATGATCCGACACCTAAGTGAGACAAACAAGCCAGAACAGAAAACACAGGGAGCTTATAAGGGAGAGGCAATCAGG